CCTGAACAGGAAACCAGAAGAAGATGAGTTGTAGAAACGAATTATTGACAAATGGACTAATCTCAAGAAGTATTACCAGTGTTCGATCGTGGAGATCAAATTCGGATGCCGGAGGTATTACTACCCGCTATATCTGATAGCAGCACACCAAACCACGGGAAAAAGTAATTCACCACTGTAGCACACTTCACTGGTATCGCAATGCTCTTTCTTGTGACAGTTTCTTCGTCACGAATCACCCACTGTGAATATCACGGTTTCAATCAATCCCGTGGTCCATTTATTGTCATCTTTGGCTAACACCGAGATAAGGTTCGAACTTCGAAAGAACACTCGAATTTACTGCACTGATGGGGTTTGCTTTATTTGCCCGGAATAAAGGGAACGACTTGGGTTTGTTACCAGTTGCTTTATTTTTTGTACTGATGGGATTGTACATATAACTTACTTAACATTGAATGGGGCTTGTGCGTACTATAGTTTGTGGGTCGATCGTAAATTTGCAGAAACGTTCCTTATGACCGACAATGCCATTTTGAATCCAGCCTTATTTTTGAAAAGGGCATATAGAAAAAAAAACAAGCTTACCTTAAGAAAATTTTTACTCGAAAACTGTTTCCCGATCGGTTTGGTGTCTTCGGCAATATTTCAGATAATCATAACTTGGATCATAACTTGAAAACATCACTTTCAATCGAAATAACGTTAGGGACCAGATATTTACAGATTTTAGGAGTCATAGAATTTGTCGCACTTAAGCTTACATTCATAATTATGGATAGTTTACAGAAAGAGAGAAGGATTAGTAATTTCCATTTAATTCCACTACCTTATTTGCTTATAATTGACAGATACGCGTATTTCGTTTACAATGTGCAGACTTCTTCAGTGTCTTCTGCTTTATACTGTACTAAGGACGTGTATAAGAAGAAGACACTGAAGAAGTCTGCACATTGTAAACGAAAACGCGTATCTGTCAAGGGTAAGCAAATAAGGTAGGGGAATTAAATGCAAATTACTAATCCATCCCTCTCTCTTCAAACAGGAATTCCACTAAGACGCCCACATTCATAAGGAATTCAAATATCTCATTGATTTCACTTCAAATTAGTTTTATGTAAGCTATACATTTGACACATCTACTAACAAAGGCTGGTGAAAAAAGGATTTAAAAAAATACTTGTTGGCTGTCCCTAGCCGCACATCCACCTCATACTAATGTTTACTAATTGGCGTTCTTCGAAAAACTTGTCGCTTCTAGCAAATATTGACTGTTTATTTTGGAAATTTTCGGTTGAGTGAAAGGATAGTCCGAAGTCTGCTATATTTCACACACAGACTGACGTTTGCTAGAGTAAAGAATTACAGAGTCGACATCAACGCCAATTACAGCCAATATTTAGTAATGATTATGTTGATAGATGATCGACATCGCAGATATTTCAAACCTTTGCCAAGTTTCCAAAGCGGAAGTTGTTTCACAATTTAAAAAGGTTTAAACCCTCATCGCTCGTTCTAAAAGCGCTTACGGACCCCACTCCGATGCCCTGTTAGTCTTGAAACCCGAAAGCGGTAGTTATCGAACGTGTTAAGATTTTGATATCAAGATTTATTTGGATCTACCAGTTTTGCTTAAGCTCACTCACTTGCTTTAGCTTCTTTCGACAGTAGCCGTTTCTTCCATTGAAACGAAAATTAAAATTAAATTGCTGCTATATTTACCTTACCTTACCAATCAGGCTAAGGCCTTGTTCTCCTCTGCTGTCCGAAGAAGTCGTATCCACTCACTGCTCGAACCATGGCCACACTTCGGCTGCCTCGTAGTCTACGAAGGGTCCGCAGGTTGCCGTCTACTTGCCCGCTGCGCGTCTCTTCTTCTTGTTCCTGTTGGGTCGCCTTCGAGAACCATTTTCCCTGGGTTGTAGTGCGGCATTCATGAAACGACTTTATTCGCTTTTAAATAAAGTAGACGACCCTATTTTCAATCTTTTTACAATCAAAATAATCTACAGACCCTACACGATAAGAACAAAATACTCAAATTTAAATTTATAGGATCTCAACGTTGGGTTCTATCATTTGAGATCCACCGTTGAGTGAATCAGCAAAGTTACGTTGGTTCAAATTTATTCATCTATTGAGTTTAAAATGTTTTTTTTTTCCTTGATTTGTTTTTCGTCCATTTTTGACGCCAGAGAAGCAGCTCTCACACCTGGACCCTACCTATCGACCCATCAACTCATGAGCCGGGAACCAACTGCTTTTCTTCCCTGCGTGATCAGAGATGTTATGCCTCAGAAAATCCCGGCGGCGCTGACTGGGATTGAACCCAGGCCTGCTGGGGTGAGAGGTAATCACGCGCAACACTACTCCATTGGTGCTCCAACTTAATCATTGTTAAGCTCAAAACGTAATATTTTTCACTATTGATTGATATAACACTTTCCGTATTTGTTTAAAAGTTACATGTTTGCGAATTTTGTTGCATAAAGTTATTATGAATTAAACAAAACACGCTGTGACTCATAGTAAAAAAGTTAAAAGTACTCATCCGTTTAACTTATTTTTCGATGAAAATCATAGCAACCTACACTGTGTCAATGCTGTCATTTTTTCGTGCTCCATTGCCTCCGTTCGTGCTCCATCGGTCATCGTATTAGTCTTCGTTAGTGCGTGGCACGAAGCGACAAAAAAAAATTGGATGCTGGTAGGTTGTGAGTGTTTTTAGTTCCATTGTAGCATGGTGATGATGATAGCATGATAGTGGCTTACCACACATTGTAGCACGTAAACTAATTCCGATAGCAGTGGGCTCTCTTCTCTGTTTATCTTGATCAAGCTTAATAACTTCTGATTGTCCTCAACATGTCGCTGTATGAAGGGCCAAAAATGGATTAGGTGGATTGATAGGCAAAATCGCCTATACGCATCTACGGGACAACAAAGAATCTCCTTCCAGCAACATGATCAGCCAATTGGTCAACAATACGAGTTCCCAAACAGGAAGATGCCCCAATGAGTGGGGAGAAGAGCTCGCCCTTTATCCGCGAAATGTTATCAACAGGGAGTTGACATTCCCACTCTCCCCGTCCAAATCGCTTCAATCGGGTGCCCCTTTTTTGTATGTATTTAAATGTTAATGTTATGTAAATGTTATATATAATGAAACATCACTTATGCGAGTCGATTGTTATGAATATTGTCAATAATACTTACATATAGATGAAGATGATGCCACCAATCCAACATTGAATCGTTCGGAGAAGGGGCTCATGGTTCCACTCATCCTGTAGAGTGTTCTTCTTCTTCTTCCGGTTCGCTCACCACCCGAAATGAACGCTCGGTGCATCATAGATTTGATATGGTTATTAATATCAAATAGTGTTACATGCAACAGAAAATGATGAGTTTTTTAAAGTAATATTTTCATGTGAATTCCTAACTAACCACATCGTATCTCAGTGACAATGTCACACTCTGAACCTACATTTAAAGTTATGTCTTGATTATATGGTTACTGTGCAAGTACCACAAGTTCAACAACGCCCAACTTGGACAGTTCAATGCTATGGACACCAAAGAATATATAGAGATAAAGCTCAAAAATACAGTTTTAACTGATAGTGACTCTTCAAGCTGTTCCATATTGGACCCTGCCAACCCACGGAACCTGTAATGTGGGCCATCAGAATGGTTCATCGGTTGCTAAGTCAAGTACTGCTCAAACTGAAGCGATACATTTCTCAATGTTTCAACTTTATTCTAATGTAAACTTAATATCGTCTCACCCATATGCCCATACACACCCAAAACCCATCCCCACACAAAATCAAATAAAAAGGTATATGTATGGTAAACACGTCCGGACATTAACAGGGAAAATGGGTTTACATCTTCACTATCGCAACTACGGATAATCATCGAAAGTATTTGCATTTTACTTAGGCACTTTTGAGGGAACTTCTTGACTCTAATACCTGAAATGTGCCACGACCAACCTGGCACAACGATGCCCTTACGCTCTCTGATCAAAGCGCAGGGAGTGTTTTAGTTCCGTTGTTTACAAAAATCTTAATTTGTATCTACTGTAGATTTGCATGGACCATGAGCTTCCGAAGAAGTCGAACTTGGTATAAGGACGATGAGGATATATTCTGCTGTGAACGAGTGGTTTCGCGTTGACGAGTGGTTGCGGTGCTTATTAATTGTTGTGTAATAATGTCAATGGCTGCAAATAAATTCAATTTTACTTTGGTTGTCATATATTCGTTGATTTCCATTATAAAGAATGGAAAAATATTAAATTATTAATTATTCCAACGTTGGGTAAAGTTTACCTATTTATTAACCTTATTTTGCCTAGCCCCACTGAAGCCGGCCGTTGAGTGAAAGAAACTCAATTTTGGTACTTTTTTCTTACCGTGTAGGAATTCTAGTGGTACCACTATTTTTGAAATTTATCAAGAAATTCAAACAAAGTCATTGAAAACTTTCCGTAACACGTTTTCCGGAGACTTCGTAGTCAGCGTAAAGTTTTTTACCCACCCTGTTCGAAGCGTTAATTTAAATTCTGTTACTATATCTAATATTGTTCTTACAAGATAATTTTGTTACGGGTGACCTTCATAGCTTATTGATGAAATATTTATCCTGTTTTTTTTTTCAGGTGGTTCAAAATGGATCAACAATCGTATGAAAGTGAAATTAAGTCGGGTGGCCACGGCGAAAAATTCCAAACAGACGTTGCCCTCGTACTGTTGCTGCGTACGCGGGAATTAAGTTCCACTACAAGGATGGCGTATGAAATGAAGATGGCCGACAAGTTTGACGATGTTGTGTTGATTGACGATACAAACAAGGAGATCCACTTAATTCAAGCAAAACACGCCGATACCAAGGATGAAAAGGTTAAAAATATCGATCTGGATGCCCTGTTTCCAACTGGAAATAGTGCCAAACGCACCGGGGACTTTGATTTGTGCAAGTATGCCAAATCCTACATGATTGTGACTGGAAGTTTGGAACTAAAGGCGTTCAAGAAGATGTTTTACATCTTCACCAATAAGGATCTGAAACAGACCGATAACGAGTGGGTGAAGATCGAAGAACGGGAAGTAAATGAAATCCTACGTTTTTCTGGATCCAGTGCCAAAAACCTGGAACTTATTCCAAGCGAAAAGGCTATCAACGAGGTGCTCAATTACATCAACAAAGATATCATTGCGATTAAAGATGCGATCAAAGAGTTCTTTCACAGCGGAACGGTCAGCCAAATTTTACCTCTTTATTGCACTCCATTGAAAGACGTTATGATCATAGACCGGAAAAAGTGTCGCTTTGCAAGCAACTTCAATGCTGAAAATCCCAATGTTGCCAAGCTATACACCATGTTGCAAAGCGATCAGGTTGATATGGAGAAAGAAGTAACCGTCAACAATAATTTCCTGGCGAAAGACTCAAGGAACAAACTTTTGCCACCATTCGTTGGTGAGGATGACATTCGTGGCTTCTTTCGCGATTTGACTCTATCGGTGGGTCAACCGAACGATTTGCAACCCATCATCGTTGGTGAACTACTGGCTTGGATGAAGACGTGGATTCAACCGGACATTCTCGGTAAGCTGGGGGAAAAGGACTTGGATCAGGTGTATATCGACCTGAAAGATTATTTTGTCAAATGCAATGAACCTGATACCAAAAATAGGAAGCGTTTTTTGGCTAAACAAGGTATCGAACAATGCTTTGGACAATTAAAGCGTGGAATGGAGACGGGTGTCATAAAGCGCGTAATGGCAGAGGCAGAAGAATGGGAATTTACGTATATTAACCGCCATATCAAGTACGAAGAAACGGCATTAGAACCAACCGGTAAATTATTAACCAAGGCAACAGATAAGGATAGGACTAGCACAATAGTTCGAAAGATAAGTGATACTATATTAGTTGAAGAGCTTCGAGGAAGATTCAAATACCAGCAACACATTTTACTTGTAGCAGACCCCGGTATGGGAAAAACCATTTTACTGCAGTTTTTGGCATTTCAGGTTCAAAAACAAAGCCACTCTGCAGTATTCTTGGTGTATTTAAGCACGCTTTGTAATGCACTAAACAAAATTGAAAAAGTATCAAACTTAGACGATGTCCGGGGAATTCTCAGCGCTGTTCTTTCAGAGAATAACTGTAATCTCATCCTTAATGCCCCGGAAAGGCGAAATGACGAAGAATATTCCATTATTTTAGCATTGGATGCATTTGACGAAATACATTCCAAATACACCGAGAAAGTAATTAGTATACTTGAACTGCTCAGCTCTAGAAAGAGTATTCAGTTCATAATCAGCTCGAGACTCCACGTGCAGGAATTATTGCAAAGGAAGTTCGATGTGAAGCTAATATCCCTAGTCCCTTTTCGGCATGAGGATCAGATCCAGTACTTGAAGAAAATATGGATGAAGGACAGTGCTCATGAAAAAGTTGTTGAAAACTTTTCGGAACTTCTTTTAAAAAAATACCATTCCAGCATTTTATCCAACTTGAGTGAAATTTCCGGTTTGCCTCTGATGATGCGAATGCTCGCTGAAATTTACTCTGACAAATTCGAACAATTTATTTCAGCAGCGAATTCCGACAATATGAAACCGTTTGATTGGTCAGAAGACACATTGAATATTGTGCAACTGTTAGAGCAGTTTGCCAAGAAATGTATTCACAAGAAATTTGTAGAAAAATTTAAGTCCACGGTTGATATCAACGATGCTGAATTCAATTCACTGACTAACGTGTACATTTTGGAACATCAACTGCTAGCGATAAAGTTGCTAGACATTGACATGCTCATGGATTTATTCACGGTGCCGTATTTTAAGAAAACATATGACTCATTCAAAAGCCGTTGTGAGCAGGATGCAGAAAAATCTATTTTGGTGAAAGTAGTCAACAATAATGTTCAGTTCTGCCATTTATCATTTGCTGAATACTTCGTAGCAACATATTTAAGTGATAACATTTCCAAGTTGGAACCAAACTTATTGATCAACGTTCTATCTCAACACGATGTTATTAGGAAACTGACACTGATCAAGCTTGGAGAAAATGAAAACTGCTCCGAAACTTTAAACGATTTGTGCAGACTTGACTGGAACGTACCTTTGTGGGTATGCGAGAGTGGTTGTCTGAAATTGGTTTCATCCCTAAAAGTTGACGAGTTCTCCACTCTTACACTAAACAATATGTTAAAAGTATCTGCGATATGCGGATATTTAGAAATATGTAATTTTCTAATTGATTACAATGCAAATCTCGATAAATGCACTGCGCTCCATTCTGCCGTTGACAATGGCCATCTAAGAGTTGTGGAACTATTGATAGCGAATAATGCGGACCCAAATGAGATGGACGATAGGAAATGGACTACACTTCATTATGCATGCAGAAACGGAAATGTAGAACTAGTTCAATTCTTTATTGATCGCGGTATGAACACTTTCTCTCGGTCAATCGAAGGTGCAACTCCACTTCACATTGCTGCGGTGCACGGCCATCTGAATATTGTTAAACTATTGATAGCAAAAAATGCGGACCCAAATGAGATGAACAATAATAAATTAAATGCACTTCATTGTGCATGCGGCAACGGAAATGTAGAACTAGTTAAATTCTTTATTGATCGCGGTATGAACACTTCCTCTCGGTCAATCAAAGGTGAAACTCCACTTCACATTGGTGTGCAGTACGGCCATCTGAGTGTTGTTAAACTATTGGTAGCAAATAAAGCGGACCCAAATGAGATGGACGATAATAAAAGGACTGCACTTCATTTTGCATGCAGCAACGGAAATGTAGAACTAGTTCAATTCTTTATTGATCGCGGTATGAACATTTCCTCTCGGACAATCAAAGGAGAAACTCCACTTCACATTGCTGCGTGGAACGGCCATCTGAGTGTTATTAAGCTATTGATAGCGAATAATGCGGACCCAAATGAGATGGACGATGATAAATGGACTGCACTTCATTTTGCATGCATTAACGGAAATGTAGAACTAGTTAAATTCTTTATTGATCGCGGTATGAACACTTCCTCTCGGTCAATCAAAGGTGAAACTCCACTTCAAATTGCTGCGTGGAACGGCCATCTGAGTGTTATTAAGCTATTGATAGCGAATAATGCGGACCCAAATGAGATGGACGATAATAAATGGACTGCACTTCATTATGCATGCATCAACGGAAATGTAGAACTAGTTCAATTCTTTATTGATCGCGGTATGAACATTTCCTCTCGGTCAATCAAAGGTGCAACTCCACTTCACATTGCTGCAGGTGACGGCCATCTGAATATTGTTAAACTGTTGATAGCGAAAAATGCGGACCCAAATGAGATGGACGATGATAAATGGACTGCACTTCATTATGCATGCCAAAACGAAAATGTAGAACTAGTTCAATTCTTTATTGATCGCGGTATGAACATTTCCTCTCGGTCAATCAAAGGTGCAACTCCACTTCACATTGCTGCAGGTGACGGCCATCTGAATATTGTTAAACTGTTGATAGCGAATAATGCGGACCCAAATGAGATGGACGATATGAAATGGACTACACTTCATTATGCATGCAGAAACGGAAATGTAGAACTAGTTAAATTCTTTATTGATCGCGGTATGAACACTTCCTCTCGGTCAATCAAAGGTGAAACTCCACTTCACATTGCTGCAATGAACGGCCATCTGAATATTGTTAATCTGTTGATAGCAAATAAAGCGGACCCAAATGAGATGGACGATATGAAATGGACTACACTTCATTATGCACGCAGAAACGGAAATGTAGAACTAGTTAAATTCTTTATTGATCGCGGTATGAACACTTCCTCTCGGTCAATCAAAGGTGAAACTCCACTTCAAATTGCTGCGTGGAACGGCCATCTGAGTGATATTAAGCTATTGATAGCGAAAAATGCGGACCCAAATGAGATGGACGATAATGAATGGACTGCACTTCATCATGCATGCAAAAACGGAAATGTAGAATTAGTTCAATTCTTTATTGATCGCGGTATGAACACTTCCTCTCGGACAATCAAAGGTGAAACTCCACTTCACATTGCTGCGATGAACGGCCATCTGAATATTGTTAATCTGTTGATAGCAAATAATGCGGACCCAAATGAGGTGGACGATAGGAAATGGACTACACTTCATTATGCATGCAGAAACGGAAATGTAGAACTAGTTCAATTCTTTATTGATCGCGGTATGAACATTTCCTCTCGGACAATCAAATTAGAAAGTCCACTTCACATTGCTGCGGGGAACGGCTATCTGAATATTGTTAAACTGTTGATAGCGAATAATGCAGACCCAAATGAGATGGACGATGATAAATGGACTGCACTTCATTATGCATGCCAAAACGGAAATGTAGAACTGGTTCAATTCTTTATTGATCGCGGTATGAACACTTCCTCTCGGTCAATCGACGGTGAAACTCCATGTCACATTGCTGCGATGAACGGCCATCTGAATATTGTTAATCTGTTGATAGCAAATAATGTGGACCCAAATGAGATGGACGATGATAAATGGACTGCACTTCATTGTGCATGCCAAGACGAAAATGTAGAACTAGTTCAATTCTTTATTGATCGCGGTATGAACATTTCCTCTCGGTCAATCAAAGGTGAAACTCCACTTCACATTGCTGCGGGGAACGGCTATCTGAGTGTTATTAAGCTATTGATAGCGAAAAATGCGGACCCAAATGAGATGGACGATAATGAATGGACTGCACTTCATCATGCATGCAAAAACGGAAATGTAGAATTAGTTCAATTCTTTATTGATCGCGGTATGAACATTTCCTCTCGGACAATCAAAGGAGAAACTCCACTTCACATTGCTGCGTGGAACGGCCATCTGAGTGTTATTAAGCTATTGATAGCGAATAATGCGGACCCAAATGAGATGGACGATGATAAATGGACTGCACTTCATTATGCACGCAGAAACGGAAATGTAGAACTAGTTAAATTCTTTATTGATCGCGGTATGAACACTTCCTCTCGGTCAATCAAAGGTGAAACTCCACTTCAAATTGCTGCGTGGAACGGCTATCTGAGTGTTATTAAGCTATTGATAGCGAAAAATGCGGACCCAAATGAGATGGACGATAATAAATGGACTGCACTTCATTATGCATGCATCAACGGAAATGTAGAACTAGTTCAATTCTTTATTGATCGCGGTATGAACATTTCCTCTCGGACAATCAAAGGAGAAACTCCACTTCACATTGCTGCGGGGAACGGCTATCTGAATATTGTTAAACTGTTGATAGCAAATAATGCGGACCCAAATGAGATGGACGATGATAAATGGACTGCACTTCATTGTGCATGCCAAAACGAAAATGTAGAACTAGTTCAATTCTTTATTGATCGCGGTATGAACATTTCCTCTCGGTCAATCAAAGGTGAAACTCCACTTCACATTGCTGCGGGGAACGGCTATCTGAATATTGTTAAACTGTTGATAGCAAATAATGCGGACCCAAATGAGATGGACGATATGAAATGGACTACACTTCATTATGCATGCCAAAACGGAAATGTAGAACTAGTTCAATTCTTGATTGATCGCGGTATGAATACTTCCTCTCGGTCAATCGACGGTGAAACTCCACTTCAAATTGCTGCGTGGAACGGCCATCTGAGTGTTATTAAGCTATTGATAGCGAAAAATGCGGACCCAAATGAGATGGACGATATGAAATGGACTACACTTCATTATGCATGCAGAAACGGAAATGTAGAACTAGTTAAATTCTTTATTGATCGCGGTATGAACACTTCCTCTCGGTCAATCAAAGGTGAAACTCCACTTCAAATTGCTGCGTGGAACGGCCATCTGAGTGTTATTAAGCTATTGATAGCGAAAAATGCGGACCCAAATGAGATGGACGATAATGAATGGACTGCACTTCATCATGCATGCAAAAACGGAAATGTAGAATTAGTTCAATTCTTTATTGATCGCGGTATGAACATTTCCTCTCGGACAATCAAAGGAGAAACTCCACTTCACATTGCTGCGTGGAACGGCCATCTGAGTGTTATTAAGCTATTGATAGCGAATAATGCGGACCCAAATGAGATGGACGATGATAAATGGACTGCACTTCATTTTGCATGCATTAACGGAAATGTAGAACTAGTTCAATTCTTGATTGATCGCGGTATGAATACTTCCTCTCGGTCAATCGACGGTGAAACTCCACTTCAAATTGCTGCGTGGAACGGCCATCTGAGTGTTATTAAGCTATTGATAGCGAAAAATGCGGACCCAAATGAGATGGACGATAATGAATGGACTGCACTTCATCATGCATGCAAAAACGGAAATGTAGAATTAGTTCAATTCTTTATTGATCGCGGTATGAACACTTCCTCTCGGACAATCAAAGGTGAAACTCCACTTCACATTGCTGCGATGAACGGCCATCTGAATATTGTTAATCTGTTGATAGCAAATAATGCGGACCCAAATGAGATGGACGATAATAAATGGACTGCACTTCATTGTGCATGCCAAAACGGAAATGTAGAACTAGTTCAATTCTTTATTGATCGCGGTATGAACATTTCCTCTCGGTCAATCAAAGGTGAAACTCCACTTCACATTGCTGCGGGGAACGGCTATCTGAATATTGTTAAACTGTTGATAGCAAATAATGCGGACCCAAATGAGATGGACGATATGAAATGGACTACACTTCATTATGCATGCAGAAACGGAAATGTAGAACTAGTTAAATTCTTTATTGATCGCGGTATGAACACTTCCTCTCGGTCAATCAAAGGTGAAACTCCACTTCAAATTGCTGCGTGGAACGGCCATCTGAGTGTTATTAAGCTATTGATAGCGAAAAATGCGGACCCAAATGAGATGGACGATAATGAATGGACTGCACTTCATCATGCATGCAAAAACGGAAATGTAGAATTAGTTCAATTCTTTATTGATCGCGGTATGAACACTTCCTCTCGGACAATCAAAGGTGAAACTCCACTTCACATTGCTGCGATGAACGGCCATCTGAATATTGTTAATCTGTTGATAGCAAATAATGCGGACCCAAATGAGATGGACGATAATAAATGGACTGCACTTCATTGTGCATGCCAAAACGGAAATGTAGAACTAGTTCAATTCTTTATTGATCGCGGTATGAACATTTCCTCTCGGACAATCATAGGTGCAACTCCACTTCACATTGCTGCAGGTTACGGCCATCTGAATATTGTTAATCTGTTGATAGCAAATAATGCGGACCCAAATGAGATGGACGATAATAAATGGACTGCACTTCATTGTGCATGCCAAAACGGAAATGTAGAACTAGTTCAATTATTTATTGATCGCGGTATGAACATTTCCTCTCGGACAATCAAATTAGAAAGTCCACTTCACATTGCTGCGGGGAACGGCTATCTGAATATTGTTAAACTGTTGATAGCGAATAATGCAGACCCAAATGAGATGGACGATGATAAATGGACTGCACTTCATTATGCATGCCAAAACGGAAATGTAGAACTGGTTCAATTCTTTATTGATCGCGGTATGAACACTTCCTCTCGGTCAATCGACGGTGAAACTCCATTTCACATTGCTGCGATGAACGGCCATCTGAATATTGTTAATCTGTTGATAGCAAATAATGTGGACCCAAATGAGATGGACGATGATAAATGGACTGCACTTCATTATGCATGCCAAAACGGAAATGTAGAATTAGTTCAATTCTTTATTGATCGCGGTATGAACACTTCCTCTCGGTCAGTCAAAGGTGAAACTCCACTTCAAATTGCTGCGTGGAACGGCCATCTGAATATTGCTAAACTGTTGATAGCGAATAATGCGGACCCAAATGAGATGGACGATGATAAATGGACTGCACTTCATTATGCATGCCAAAACGGAAATGTAGAATTAGTTCAATTCTTTATTGATCGCGGTATGAACACTTCCTCTCGGTCAATCGACGGTGAAACTCCATTTCACATTGCTGCGATGAACGGCCATCTGAATATTGTT